GTTGGAAATGGAGAAGAGGGAGGAGAGGAAAACCTTTAAGCCTGCCTCCTAAATACCTCAAACAACCCAGAAACATGGCTAACCATCACACGAACCAATGCAAAACCCAACAGATGGCGCCACAGATACAGGAGTTGGGCACAAACCAAAGAGATTCAAACCCACCACAGATGATGACATATTAAAACAAATTAGAAAGGAACCAGAATTATTCGTGCTTTCATGGAATGTCAACGACTTAACTTCAGTCTTGGATAACCCAAACAAATGGAAAAACCTGACAGACACCATCAATTGGTTCATCCAAAACCCCCCAGATATAACATGCATACAGGAAACGCACCTCACAAACAGTGATGAACACAAGAGAATCCAAACTGCAATTTTGAGAAAATTGCAATTTGTCAAACTCTCAGTCTGGGTCAGTGCAGCACCAAACGGCTCAGCAGGTACAGCCATTCTCTTCCATCAAAAATTTGTAGCAAGCGACAACATTTCAATCCAATCCACAAGCCAAGACAACACTACAGGGAGATGGGTCAGGGTCGACATACAACTCAAAGAAGAAGACATAACCATCTTGGAAATATATGGTCTGAACACGGCACAGGAAAAAACCCCTTTCCTCCTAGCCTTGGAACAACTATTCCCTCTTCACAGCCCCACCATCATAATGGGAGATTGGAACTCGGTACAGGACCCTACCCTAGATAGAATATCTAACTCCCAGGAACCAACCTCACAATCCAACAGCATAGCCCTAGGGGACTTCATCACAAGAAAAAATCTAGTAGACCCGTATCGTCTCCTTAACCCCAATGCAAAACGTTTCTCGTGCGTCAAAAAAACCTCCCTAGGAAGAACCTCCTTCTCCAGAATTGATTTCTTCCTCACTTCGGATACACTTTCTGGGGCTTTCTAAGAATGCAGAATAAAAAATAACCCCTATTATAAGGGACTAGCTCACAAAGCAATCACACTTACTCTTAGACTTACTAAAACCGGATACGTAGGTAAAAGCTTATATCGCTTCAACAATGCATTACTATCCAGCCAGATCTTCCAAACCGAACTAGCAGAAATGCTAATCTCTCACACAAAAATAAAACAAAACGAGGACATCTTCTACAAATTCCCAGAATTATTAAAAAATATTGGCATCGATATTGCAGTTACGTCAAGGAGAATGGCAGCACAAAGGAAAGACAGAGTAGAAGCATTGGGAAACGCAATAAAAGTAGCCGAAATAAATCTCCAAAGAAATACAAACTCGTAATTTTATACGGATTTATACTCCAAACCAAAGGAAAAATTAGCGGAATGGACAAAACTAAAACTAAGGGGATTACAACTAAGAGCCAGAGTGAAAGAATGGGAATTAAACGAGAAAATAACAAAATTCTTCTTCCAAAAAATTAAATCTAACTCCAAAAATTCCAAAATTGAAAGCTTACTAAACGAACACGGTAACCCCCCCTCAGAAACAACTCAACTGGTCAATATAGCTACTAATTTCTACAAAAACCTTTACACGAGTAAGACTCCAAAAGACAGACTAAACGAAACACGGCAGGCTAGAGAAAGATTCCTAACACATCTAGACCAAACATTATCAAAGGAAACAACAATCTCTCTAGAACTACCTATCACTTTAAAAGACTTACACACAACTCTCAAGGATCTTAAACCTAATAAGGCCCCAGGCATAGATGGTCTCTCAAAGGAATTCTTGATAGCAAGTTGGCACAAACTAGGCCCGCTTCTCCTCGCCTTCCTCGACAAAGCTTGGGAAGAAGAGTCACTAGGACCAGAACTTAGTACATGAGTGGTGACCCTCCTCTAGAAAATAGGAAGTAAAGAAGACATCAAAAATTATAAACCTATATCCCTACTAAATGTATCCTACAAAATACTTGCCAAGCTCCTAGCCTCCAAAATCAACCGGATCACAGGAGGATGCTTTCGTCTGGACAAAACAAGATTCATTCCCGACAGACTCATCCTAGATAACGTAATGACCCTGAGTGAATCCACCAGAATAATAAATCAAAAGAAGATCACAGCTGCAATCCTCTTCTTCGACTTCGAAAAAGCATACGACCAAGTCAATTGGGACTTTCTCTAGACCTCAATGGAAAAGATGGGAGTCGGCCCGATCTTTAGAAAATGGGTAAAGATCATGTACGACGATGCACAAGGCATAGTACAAATCAATGGATTTCTTTCCAACCCTTACCAAATGACAAGATCGGTATGACAAGGCGACCCATTAGCTGCCCCAATCTTCCTATTCGTAATGGAAGCCATAGCAGCCTTCTTGAGAAAAGATCCCTCCATAGAGAGACTAATCAACATCAAAGATGAGAGAGGTCAACCCTTACAAATCCCCACCACCATTTTATTCACGGACGATCCTACAGTACTCATCAGGGCATCCAACTCCTCCTTTCAAGCTTTAACAAGAGCAATGCAAGCCTTCCAATTATGTAGCGGACCTCGGGTTGGCCTGTGAGACCAGCCCCTTGGCCTGTTCTCACAGGCCTGTGTTATATTCGGGGTAGGCCAGTCCAGGCCGGTACCTCTGTCGGTACCAGCCAGTCCAGTCCAGTCCCGTCAGTCCGCTGGGGTATATCCCAGCCATTGTCTGTTTTCAGTCTCATTCCTCACTTGCACATTTTGGAGTACGTGCGTTGGAGTCTTGC